GGGATGCGGGACCCCCCCCAAATTCTCCCGGGGTGTTTTTTGGGGGGCGGCAGCGCTTGAGCGGGTGTGACCCCCCCCTTCCCCTGAGGGTTTTGTTGGGGGGGTCCCGTGGAGACCCCCAGGCCGGGGGGGTCTCGGGGGGGTCCCGGGGGGGTCCCGGGGGGGCGGGCAGGAAGCGGCCGCGGCTCCCGCCTTTGTCTGGAGCGGTTCGGTTTCCTTCGGGGGGGGGTGAGGGCCCAAAACGGGGAGGAAAACGCGGAAATCGGCAACGGAGAAAAGTCAGGGGAAAAGAAGAAAAACGGTCAGGGGAAAAAAAAAAAGGGGGGGGGGGAAACTGGGGGGGGAAAAAAGGAAAACAAGATGTAAAAAGGGGAAAATAAGCAGGGAGAAGGGAGGAAAAGCGGGGAGAAACGGGAGCAAAAGCAATGAAGAAGGAAAAATCAGTTAAAAAGGAAAATGCTGTAAAAAGGGGGAAATAAGCATAAAAAAGGAAAAACAGTAAAAAAGGGGGAAGGCTGCAAAATAAAGGGAGAAGGAGAAAAGAGGAAAGAAAATCGGGGGTGGAAAAGAAGAGCAGGAAGATAAAGGAAAGAAAGGGAAAAAATCGGGGGGGAAAGGGTGAAAAGAATAAAGGGAAAGCAAAGGAAAAAGCAAAGAATGAGAGAAAAAAACGGAGAGGGGGAAAAAAAAGGAAAGAAACGAACAAAAAACGGAGGAAAATAAAAGAAAAACAAACAAAACCGGCGGAGCAAAGGGAAAATCAAAGGCAAACAAACAAGCGGGCGGGAACAATCGCGCGCGGGGCGGATGTCGCGGCCGATGTCGCGGCCGGAGGCGCCGCCGGGGCCGGGGGGGGCCGGGGCTCGGGGGGTCCGGGATGTGCTGCTGCTCCTGCGCCCCGTTCCCGGCGGACGGGGAGGCGGAGGGACCCCTGAGCCTCGAGCGGGTGAGCCCCCCGCGCCCCCCGCCCGGGGACACGGGGTGACGCTGGGGTCCCCAGCAGTGGGGTCCCACTGGTGTCTCGAGGGGTCTCCTTGATGCTCCGAGGGGTCTCTCTCAAGATCCGCGGGGTCCCACTCCCGTCCTTGGGGTCCCACTCCCGTCCTTGGGGTCCCACTCCCGTCCTTGGGGTCCCACTCCCGTCCTTGGGGTCCCACTCCTGCCCCGTGGCCTCCCCGTTCTCCCTCTCCCCCCGGGGGTCTCTCAGCCTCTCCCCCGCTCTCGGAGGGGTTCGGGAGCAGGGACGGGCACCGGGAGCGGGGATCGGGAAGGGGAGCTGGGGGGTCCGGAGGCGCCGCCGTTTTGGGGGGCTGTTGGTTGGAGCCCCGAGTGCCCCGGCCCGCCGGGCTCAGCCCCGGTGCCAGGCACGGCAGGGGCCGCGGGGGTGGCGAGGGGGGGCACAAAGGCCTCTCTGTGCCCGTGGGGGCGCGGGGGGGTCCGAGGCGAGCACGGGGACACTCGGGGTGACGCCGGCTCGCTCCCCTTTTGAAACCCGAACCGACCCCCGCCCCCCGAACCATCCCCGCGGCGGCTCAGCCGGCTCCCGACCCCCCGTTTTGCGGGGGGAAAGGGTGAAACCCCCCAATTCGGCTAAAAATAGGAGGCGGGGGGCGCGGGACGATGTCCCCAACCCCCACGGGGCAGCGTCACCCCCGGCTGCGCCCCCGCACCCCGTCCCCATTGGGGCTGGCGCCGGGGGGGCCGTGCCGGGGCGGGGGGGATCTCTCCCGCAGCCTCCGGTTGCCGTGGAGACGGGATGCTGGGAAGCGGGAGCGAGCGCAGGGAGCGGGGGGCTCTCTCCCCGTCCTCCGGGCTCCCCACCGAGCCCGCGGGGCAGCGGCCGCTCCCGCAGCCCGCCCGGCTCCCCGCGGCCATGAGCCGCGTCCCGAGGCCGGCGGGGGGGGCCGCGGGGCGGCCGCGGTGCCGCAGCCCCGTCAGGCGTCCGGTGTCGCTGTCCGGGCAGGGCAAGGACAAGGAGAGGATGAAGGAGGGGAAGGAGAAGGACGCGCGTTACACCAACGGGCACCTCTTCACCACCATCTCCGTGTCCGGCATGACCATGTGCTTCGCCTGCAACAAGAGCATCACGGCCAAGGAAGCGCTCGTGTGTCCCAGTGAGACCCGGGATGGGGACCCGGGAGGGAAATTGCAGGCGGATGTGCCGGGCGGGGGGTGCCAGGAGGGATTTGACAGGGGGGGGATGTGCCAGGGCAGGAGGGACAGGGTGGCACTGATGGGGTGGCACTGATGGGGTGGCATTGCCAGGGTGGCTGTGCCAGGGCAGAACTGTCACCGTGGCTTTGCTGCAGTGGCTTTGCCAGGGAGGCATTGCCGGGGTGGCTTTTCCAGAGTGGAGTTGCCAGGGTGGCTTTGCCGCAGTGGTTTTTTCTGGGATGGCTCTTCCGGGGTGTCTTTTCCATCACGGTTTTGCCAGGGTGGCAGGGCTGGGCTCGGTATGACGGGGTGGCTTTTCCAGGTTGGCTCTGCCAGGGCGGAATTGCTGCGGAGGATTTGCCAGGATGGCTTTTCCATCGTGGTTTTGCCAGGATGGCTTTGCTGGGGTGGATGTGCCAGGGCAGAATTGCCAGGGTGGCTTTGCCAGGGTGAAATTTCCGGGGTGGCTTGGCCGGGGTGGCTTTGCCGCAGAGACTTTTCCAGCCTGGAGTTGCCAGGGTGGCTTTTTCTGGGGTGGCTTCTCCATGGCGGCTTTGCCGGGGTGGCTTTGCCGCAGTGGCTTTTCTGAGGAGGCTTTTTTTGGGATGACTTTTTTTGGGGTGGCTTTGCTGGGGCGGAATTGCTGGGGTGGCTTTGCCAGATTGGATTTGCCGCAGTGGCTTTGCCGGGGCGGCTTTTTTGGGACGGTTTTTTTAGGGTGGCCTTGCCAGGATGACTGTGCCACGGTGGCTTTTCCAAGATGACTTTTCTGGGGTGGCTTTGCCGCATGGGCACCGTGGTGCCCGTTCCCAGAGCCCAGTTCCTGCTGGGTTTGTTCCCTGGAGCACGAGATGGTTTCTCTGCCTTGGCACATCCTGGCTCCCTGGCTCTGGTGGCCCCGGGCTGGCTCTGGTGGCCCTGGGCTGGCTCTGGTGGCCCCGGGCTGGCGCGGTGCCCTCGGGGTTGGGGCAGCTGCTCCCTGGCAGCTGCAGCTCCGGCAGCGCCGGGTGATCCGCATCCACCCGCATTCCCACCACATCTGCTCCCGTCGCTCTGCCAGGATCCGGGGGAGGAGGGGTGGCAGGAGGGTCCCCGTGGCCTCTCCGTCACCTCTCCGTGTCCCCCAGCCTGCAACGTCACCATCCACAACCGCTGCAAGGACACCCTGCCCAACTGCACCAAGGTGAAGCAGAAGGTGAGCGCGGGTGACGCCAGCCGGGGATTGGCGGGGGATGAGGGAACGGGGGGATGCGGGAACCGGGGACACGCGAGGACAGTGACGCTTCCGCTCCCCCGCAGCAGCAGAAGGCGGCGCTGCTGAAGAACAGCTCAGCCCTGCAGTCGGTGTCCCTGCGCAACAAGAGTGAGTGGGGGGAGCTTCCCTTCCCTTCCCTTCCCTTCCCT